TTTTAAAGTTAGCAAACTCACTTTAGGTGAAAGCAAAATAATGAAGCATCTTTAGAATATGAATAGTCACCTGTATCAGAACATGTCTCTTTTGTTACAGAAAAGTTCTCTGACCATGAACATCTGACCAGAATGTTGGTTTTTTTTCAGAGAGTGTTGAATTCAGGGCTGTAACTAGATTTCTTGTAGGAGGAGTGGGAATGCCTTAACCCTGCTCGCAGGTCTTTTTGCAGTGCTCTCCTGTTGGAGAGCTGCAGCAGTGTGGACTCTTGGGGTCAGAGTAGTTGTCTTGCAGTCTCCATGGCTCCTGCACAGAGTTCCTGGGAAAACTACTCGGCAGTGTCTGAATGAGTCTCACGTGTCACAGCGAAAGTGAAACCCTCAATGTAAGAGACATTGTTCTTGCTATTTTCTCTCCATGTTTATCCTATTGGCAAGTGTGAAGCACATTTCATTTATGTCCCTGGGAAGTTCCTGGTGATGTTTGAAGAGTCTGTTTCTCCTGTGCAGAACTCACAGTGCTCAGTCAGTCTCCCTCTTCTGTGAATCCGAGCAATGAGCCCGGGATGGTGAAGAAAGGTGACGGTGACAAAGCATCCAAGTATTTTCTGCTGATTTAGGAAGTGGTGAAGTGATGGGGTTAGGGCTCAGGTATAAGAACAGTACATTAAATCTTATTTGAAACATGCTATTTTATCCTAGATGGTTCTAGAGAACTCCCTTGAGAGTAATCTCAAGATTCCCCTATTGTAGGAGTTTGAAGACTTGTATGTAATATTAATACTCAGAGGCAAATACAATTGACTCTGCCTCGGAGTGATGCTGCCCTTCTTCTTTTCACACCTCTGGTTGTGGTTTCCTCCCAATATTCAGTGGTTTCATTACTCTAATTTTAATCATAAAACCACTTAAGCCTCTTGGTTTTACCTGCATACACAGATTAAATCGTCTCATCATTACTTCAGATTGTGTATCTTTTATAGTTATTTTCTTAAATAACATGAGCAGGATTTTGTAGAAATTTCCTTAGTATCTCTGCTGAATATGAACTTCTAAATCATCTTCCCTTTCATATCCTGTTGTGTGTGATCATCACTCCATGGTTAATGTCACTTAGACTTTGATATATAAATTGCCTCTGGGTTTGAACCTTCTCTCAAAATTTTAAAAGTCTTTGTGGTTTCTCACAGTTTTATTAATCTGAAAAATATTTTCTCCATAAAAACTTGGCCTGTAAGATCGTGGCAGAAATATCGTGGTGGAACATGCCTTTAATCCCAATACTCAGGAGGCACAGGCAGGTGGATGTTATGAATTCCATGACAGTATGGTCTACTGAGTGAGTTCCAGGACACCCTCCAAAGCTATAGAAAAGCCCTGTCTTGAAAAACCAAAATAAATAAATAAAATAAAATAAACCAAAAATCTTGGTGAAAATGTTAATCTTAATAGAACATAAACATCATTTTATAGATTCTCACATGT